ACAGTTCCCCTGGCCAGGGGACATCTGGGGACAGTGCCATGGTGTCCCCGGGGTGGGGACAGTGCCGCGGTGTCCCCGGGGTGGGGACAGTGCCGCGGTGTCCCCGGGGTGGGGACAGTGCCATGGTGTCCCAGCCGTGTCACCAGTACCTGCTGATGGTCTGTTTGAGGGGCCGCTCCTGCAGGTGGATGTGGTGGTTGAGGGTGGAAGGGCTCTGGTCATCGCTGGCCTGGGGACACCGAGAGGCTGAGCGGGGGTGACACCGAGCCCCGGTGACCCAGGGAGGTGACACCAACCCGTCAATGTCCCAAGAAGGTGCCACCAACCCCCTGGTGACTGAGGTAGGTGCCACCAAGCCCTGGTGTCCCAGGGAGGTGCCACCAACCCCCAGCGTCCCAGAGAGGTGGCACCAACCCCTGGTGTCCCAGGGGGGTGACACCAACCCCCCGATGTCCCAGGGAGGTGACACCAACCCCCCGCTGTCCCCACGCACCGTGCGGGCCAGCTCGCTGCGCGCTGCCTTCCTCCGCAGCAGCTGCAGCCGGATGTCGATGTCGAATTTCCTGCAGTGCTGGATGTGCTCGTGGCTGCCCAGCGTGTGTTTGCTGCGGGGACAGGGCCACAGGCTCATTCCACATCCCAAAATCCCACCTGGAGTGCCCCAAAATCCCTCCTGGAGTGTCCCATCCCAAAATCCTGCCTGGAGTGCCTCAAAATCCCACCTGGAGTGCCCCAAAATCCCACCTGGAGTGCCCCATCCTGAAATCCCAGCCAGGCCTTGGCTGGGCCCAGGGCGGCCCTGCCTGCACAGGGACTTTGTGGCAGCAGGAAACCCAGAGAATGAGGAATTGTTTTCCCTCCTTCCCCTCCGGAGCCGGGCCCGGCCTGCCAGGACCTGCCCAGGGATCCTTGGGAAGCAGGGCACGGATCCGAGCGGCTGGAGGGGGCTCTGAGAGCGGGATTGGGGTGAATCTTGGAGCTGGGAATGACAGGGAGAACCCTGGAGCTGGGAATGCCATCCTGATTCCCCCATCCAGACCCCCCTGGACCCCTCCAGCCGCGGGTCCCTCGCTGGCCTGGATCAATCCCACGGGAATGCCGTGCCAGCGGCTCAGGATGCCGGGCAGAGCTCCGGGGTTTTGGCACTTCCAGCATCTCCTCGGCCATGGGAAGATGTGGGAAGAAAAGATCGGCCACAAAAGGGGCTTTGTGCTCCCAGAGGAGCCGGGAAATCTCCTTTGGGGTCTGCTCCCTGCAGGAAAAGGGGATCATTCCTTTGGGAATGGCTGGATGGATCCGGCCCGGGCAGCTCCGAGACCCCCAGGGCTGCTGCAGAGATCTGGGCACATCTGGGCACATCTGGGCACACCTGGGCACATCTGGACAGGGCTGTTTGGAGCCACAAGGGCTCGGCACCCACAGAACAGCCCCTTTGGTGGCCCTAAATCCCCTTTGGTGGCCCTGAATCCCCTTTGGTGGCCCTGCAGCCCCTTGGTGCCTCCCCTGGTCCCAAGCATTCCCAGCCGTCCCTTTAGATCCCAAACCGGCGGCTCCTGTGGCTCAGCTCCCACGGAATTCCCGCGGCCGGGGCATCTCTCCAGCAGCAGGAGCTGGCTCCAGCCCCGTGAAAGGCCGGGAATGCCGTGGCTGCTGCTTCTCCCTCTGCAGAAAGCTCTCCCAAACCCCCAAACCCCCTGGAAAAACAGAATTCCTCCAGGAAAGGCAGTGAGGGAATGAGGGACAGCTCTTCCCTGCTATTCCTGAGCCCCCCAGATCCCTGTCACACCTTCTCCCGGGATTTAGGGAGAAGCCGGGCTCCGCTCCCTGACACGGCTTTTTACGGAATTCTCCTCCAAAAAGCATTTTTGGCAGCTCCAGGCTTCCCAGCTGGTTTTCCAGGCGCCTGGGGGTCAGCCTGACGGATACCACCGGGAACGACATTCCCAACATGCTGCTCTTGGCAGGAGCAGCTCCAGAGGCAGGAAAAGGAACGGAGAAGCTCCTGCTGTGCTCACCGACATCAAACCTGGGTGTTCATCACACCCTGGAGCACCTGGGATGGATTTTCCCTGGTTTTTTCCTGTTTTTCCTGTTTTTTCTCTGTTTTTCCTTTGATTTTTCTGTTTTTTCCCTGTGGTTTTCCCTGTGTTTTACCCTGTTTTTCCCTGTTCTGCCCTGCTTTTTCCCTGTTTTTTCCATTTTTTCCTTTTCCTTCCCCCTTTTTTCTGTTTTTTCCCTGTTTTTTCCCCATTTTTTCCCTGGTTTCCCTCTGTTTTTTCCCATTTTTATCCCAGTTTTTCCCACGGCCCCTCACTTCTGCAGGAATTCCTCCAGGCCGCAGATTTTGAGCAGGAAATCCTCGACGTCCACAGCGTGCAGCTCGTCGTGGGTGTAGCACAGGGCCTGGTAAATCAGCAGGTCCACGGTGGAGGAGCCTGCGGGGATAGGAATCCTGAATTCCCGAATCCTCGGGAACGGCAGGAATGGCGGGAGTGGGTGGGAAACAGTGGGGGTGGTGGGAATGGCAGGACTGGGGCAACAGCGGGAATGGCAGGAATGATGGGAATACTGGGAATGCTGGGAATGCTGGGAACTGTGGGAATGCTGGGAACACCAGGAGCAGTGGGAATGCTGGGAACACCAGGAGCAGTGGGAATGCTGGGAATGGTGGGAATGGCAGGAATGGTAGGAACGACAGGAATGGTGGGATTGGTGGGAACAGCAGGAATGGTGGGAATGTAGGAAAGGCGGCAATGCTGGGAACAGCGGGAATGGCGGGATTGGCGGGAATGGTGGGAACTGTGGAATTGGCGGGAAAAAGCAGGAATGGTGGGAACAGCGGGAATGGCGGGATTGGTGGGAACCAATTGTGGGGTTGGTGGGAATGGCGGGAACAACGGGAATAGAGGGAACAGTGGGAACGGCGGGAACAGCAGGACTGGTGGGAATGAGGGAATTCCGGCTGTTCCCGAGGCTGGTGGCCCTCACAGTCGCAGGTGAAGGTCAGCGGCTCCCTCAGGCTGTCGCACACCACCGTCACCTTCAGGCTGACGCCGGCGCCCGGCTGCTCTGCGCTCAGGTTCACGGCATTCCACACCAGCCCCGTCCCGGAATAATCCTTGGTGCCGGAGCTGGAGCGCAGCCTGGGGGAGCAGGGACGGCTCAGGGATCCTGATGGATTTGGGGGAGTCCCCCCGGCCCAAAAATCACCTGGGTGGCCTTCAACTCCCTTTTGGTACCACAAGGGCTTGGCAACCTTGGGAACAGCCCCTCTTGGTGGCCCTGAAGCCACTTTTGGTGGCCCTGCAGCCCCTTTTGGTGGCCCTGAATCCCCTTTTGGTGGCCCTGAAACCCCTTTTGGTGGCCCTGCAGCCCGTTTGGGTTGTCCTGCGGGTGTTTTTGTGTACTCACACATCCAGCATGTGACAGAACGCCGCCACCTCCTCATCCCGCTCCTCGGACACCTCAAAGAGCTCATAGCCGTTGGCCAAGGAGTGCAGCCGGGGGGCCACCTGTGGGGCAGGGCACGGGCCTGTCACCTGGGGGCCACCACCGGGGCCACCCCGCCATGGGGACCACCAGCCCCGCTGGAGCACCTGTGCCACACCAGGGCCACCACGGTGGGGACAGAGGTGGCCCTACAGCCCTGCGGGGGCCAGCACAGGAGGATTTGCTTTGGCCACGGCTGGGAGACCCTCAGAGCCCCCCGCGGCCGCTCCATCTGAATTTTCCTAATGAGGTTGTGGCGCTCAGAGAGCTCTGAATTCCCAGCTCCATCCCCGCTCCAACTCCAATTCCAGCAGCGGGAAGCCTCTCACCGGCTCCACGGAGATCCTGCGGTTCCTGTTGGGCGCCAGGTTCTTCCTGTTGCCCGCGCGGGGTCCGTAGGTGCGCGGGGGCACCTGGGGGGGCATGGTCTTGCTCCGTGCCACCGGCTTCCCGCTGGATTCCTTCTCCAGGATGCTCCTGCCTTCCTTCCAGCCCCGGGAAGCTTCCCTCAGCACCTCGGACTCGTAGGTGGAGTTGAGGTTGAGGCAGGTGATGGCGTCCACGCCATAGGGATCCTCCTGGGAGATGCGGCGCCCCAAAAGCTTGTCCTGAGCCACTGAGAACATGTTGATGTCCCTGGGCTGGCCCTGGCCCTTGGGGGACAGCGGGGACGCCTTCCCCGAGCGCTGGCCGCCCTCGGGACAGCCCCACAGCGGGTGCCGCGGCGGCAGCGGTGGCGGAGAGAGCTTTTTGGGGGAACCACCGCCGTTGTGGGGCTCGGAGCCATTGAGGGGCTCCCCAAGGAAATCCCGCTGCGAGCCCTCGAAGATGAACAGGTAATCCCCGCTCAGGGGGCCCTTCCGCCACGGCTGCGGCTCCGGCCGGGCCGGACCGGGCCCGGGTGGCGCTTGGGGACCCTCGGGGACAGCGGGGACGTTGTAGCTGAGCGTGGGGTCGGAGCCCGAGA